TCAGGTACTCTGTTCACTACCTGCTCAGGTACTCTGTTCACTACCTGCTCAGGTACAAAAAGGAGCGTTTAGCAGCTAAAGAGACTGCTGTTTCCTTCAGGAGGTGATGGAGACCAGAAACAGAGCTTAAAGAGAGAACATCCATCATGTGACACAGAAACAAAGACTCCTAAATGTATCAAAGTATTAGTTGTTAGAAGGTAAAGGTAACGTGTGTACCTGATAGTCTTCCCCTCCCTCAGGTCGTACAGAGAGAAGAAGATGTCGGTGTCTTCTCCGATGCTGTTGTAGGTGAAGCTCTTCAGGTTGACCAGTAGGTGGTGTGGTACTGGAACTCTGACCGGCTCCCCGTGACGCTGACGCGTACCGTCGCCCTGCAAACACACAACAAAACAAGTATTATGGGCCTTAAATCATAGAAGACAATAAACATATATTCACTGATTGTATACATTCTAAATATTGTCACAAATGTGTACTGAAGTAAAGGTAATGAAGTATTAATGATACAACAAAGTAAAAGTATAAACTGTGATTCTCTTAAAGAGCTGAAATGAATGTTACTAAAACTAAAGTATACTTGATTATTAAAGTACTACAAGTATTGTGTTGCAGTATCTTTATGTTGTAGGTTTCAGATGAATGTAGTTGAAGTACATGTGAAGTAACAGTATATTAAATGTACTTCTACTCAGTGTACTGCAGTATGTAGTACTTTACCTGAGTAGTACTCAGTTGAACACTGTGTCTGCTGGACAGATGCTGAGGAAGACAGAGAGACACAAAAGCTTACATCATCATGTTCTCTCCTCTCCTCGTCTCCTCCACTTGATTCCTCGTCTCATCCTCTCATTTCCTCCCTTTCCTTATTTCCTCTCCTCTATTTGTTTCCTTTTCTTTCTCCTAGTCTCCGATCCTCTCTCCGTTTCTTCTCCTCTCGTCCTTTCTTCCACTCATCTTCTCATTTATTCTCCTTGTCTCCTCTCCTCCCCTCCTCTCCTTGTTTCCTCACTACTCTTTTTGTCTCCTCTCCTCCCTGTATGTCCTCTCCTCCCCTCCTCTCCTTGTTTCCTCACTTCTCTTTTTGTTTCCTCGCCTCCTTTCCTTTTCTCCTCCCCTCTAATTTTCTCTCCTCCTTTTCTTGTCTCATCTCCTCTCCTAGTTTTCTCTTCTTTTTCTCCTCTCCCCCTTTTCATATTCACACTGAATTATCTTGTAATGATTTTCCTCTTCTATTGTTCTGGAAAGTTGACCTTTTGTTGGTCAAACGTAACAACGAGAAAGAAACAGAAAGAAACTTAAAGAAACATGAAGAAACATTTCCATGACATATAAACAATGAGGAATCATTTGGATCATAACTTCAGTTAGTTTGTTTTTATTGGTTCTCGTTCTCTTCAGTAAAGAAAGAAGAAAAAGTATCTGATGTAACTTTTAGAGTCCGTTAGACTCAACAGATGTTTGTGTGTTAATCTCTCCGTGTCTCT